GAAGCGCCGAAAGGGCTGGTTTGCTCACGTCTTTGTACTGTGTGTCAGATGAAAATTTTTAGATGCCACGATCAATGTCAAATCAGATCTCTCTTGTCTAACCTATTGTAACAATAACAGAATAATAACTAAGATTGGGCGTGATCTAAAGTTTCGCACCAGCGGAAATACTGAGAATAGTATGCACGTAGTACGCGAGTAAGCTCGCGGCTGAGTGCGTCCTGTTCTCGATCTACGACTTCATACGCTAGAAGCAGATAAACGAGTACGTGACAGCTCAGGAAGCCTCAAGCCATGATTAGGTCTCCGGATAAGGCAAAAATGTGGAAAATGGAAGACAATTAAATGCCATCTAAACTTCGTTTGGCACGCAGTACAAAAAGTTCGACACAAAATGCCGAGGTTCTGGATTGGCGCTCGACGCGTGATTATTTGTCAAACTATTTTTGTAGTTATTTATTTATGACATATTGGCTGCATCTCTGATGAACACGGACTAATTCCCTTGTTTCAGCCACGTCGAACTGTCAAGGAAGACATAGCGCGTGCTCTCAAATCGTATTCTGTAGACCAAGAACCTGAATGCTTCGTGCAGGCCTATTATCAAAGGATGCAAAGCAGTTCTCATCTAAAGTGAGTGAATAGGATCTCATGATGCAATGAATTCCTGCGTGAACTTATTTGGCCTCTGATCACATGGTCGCCTTCCGCGTTGCATCAAACATAACGGCTGCAAAATCCCATCCGCCGATCCTATCACATGAACTTGTTCTTCTTCTTCTCCCTAGCGTTAGTCCCACGCAGTCGCAGGATCCGCTGTCTTTGCCAGTGGTCACCACTTTACCCCTCTCCGAGCGTCCTCTGCTGTGGCAGTGACTTTCTCATATCCTTCTTACCCTCGGCAGGGATGGAGAACTGTAGGAAATGACTGAGAGAGGGAACGCTTGTTAGACAGATGAAACGGCTGCAGTCAACTGAGGCTAACTGAGATCCGCGTCTATGTGTGATCTGAGATCAGTCCCTTCCACTTCACTGCGACAAGACTCCCCAAATTCCACAAACGCGACTGCAAAACTCTCAAATACGACCTCCTTCTCACAATCGCCAAATCCACGAACGGCACGAACTCTCCTTCGAAAAATGCAATATGAACGTTTCGCCCGTACTTAGCGGCCGTGGCGAGCTGAACATTCCATGGATCTGTCTGCTTGAGATTTTTTTGTCCAGCGAAGCGTTTCTACGAAGAACTCACTGACTAGGTGTCAAAGGTGCACCAGAGAAAAGCCTCGAGAAAGAAGAATGGTGGGAATGGAAAAACTCAGGGAACAGAAAGGTCAAAATTGAACGGTGGGATTTTGATAAGTTTTAATGGTGACCTTGATGAATTGCGACGTTGGTTGAAGGAACGGCTATTAATGAGCAGTGTAATGCATATGAGATAGAGATGAGAGCTGACTTCACAGATTCGCGTAGGTTTCCAGGCATCGAAGCTCATGCGAGCACTTTCATAGATCTCATTTTTAAGCGAAGAAAATCTTCTGAATGTTTTTTTGGTTTTTTGAACGTCTGCATGGACTTCTTTTTGGCTGGTATGGAAACAACATCAACAACTCTGAGATGGAGCACCTTGTTGTTGGCTGCTCATCCTGATGTGCAGGTAGGTCATGAACTTTAAGAAAAATCATGATAGAGTCTCAGTTTTTCTTCTTCTGATCCACAACAGAGGGAAGAGATCAGAGACATTCATTATTATTGTCAAAGATCACTCCAATCAATCACTGTCATTTCTTCTCAGGATAAATGCGGCAGAAATTCTATCTGAATTGGTAGAAGGAGGGCAAGCCGAACGTCATCAGAACGACAAAAATTGCCCTACACGAAGTAAGTCGGATACCAGTCTTAGAAAAAATAACATGTGTTAAAAATAAAAATGATGGGCACTATTGAGCTATTACAACCCCAGAGGGGGTGAGATGGATCAAAAAATTTTTTTTTCGCTGAAACTTGGGAAAAAAAAAATTAACTCTGAAACTTGTTATAGGGGGTTATCGAGGCTCCTGATCACGAATATGACCTTAGTTTTTGGCGCTGGCGCCAAATTGGCGCCATTTGGCGCCAATTGGCGCCAAGGGTGTTTTCACCAAATTCGCTGTAAACTTGTGTATAGGGGTTATCGAGGCTCCTGATCACGAATATGACCTTCGTTTTTGGCGCTGGCGCCAAATTGGCGCCATTTGGCGCCAGTTGGCGCCAAGGGTGTTTTCACCAAATTCGCTGTAAACTTGTGGATAGGGGTTATCGAGGCTCCTGATCACGAATATGACCTTAGTTTTTGGCGCTGGCGCCAAATTGGCGCCATTTGGCGCCAATTGGCGCCAAGGGTGTTCTCACCAAATTCGCTGTAAACTTGTGGATAGGGGTTATCGAGGCTCCTGATCACGAATATGACCTTAGTTTTTGGCGCTGGCGCCAAATTGGCGCCCTTTGGCGCCAATTGCTTACAGGTGTTCACCAAATTGATTTGCGTGAAAACACCCTTTGGCGCGCCAATTGGGCCAGCGCCCAAATACACTAAGGATCGTCCGTCGATGTTCACGGCAGCCTCGACTAACCACCTCTAGCGCCAGTTTCATGGCGAATAACAAACTTTTTTTTTTTAGATCCATCTCACCCCCTCTGGGGTTGTAATAGCTCAATAGTGCCAAATGAGGCCTTTCACAAGGGAAGTTCTGCTGCAGGTGTGGGTGGCTGGCGGCTGACAAATACAGGGTAGCGAAAAATTACGTGCGCCATAAAACACGTTCAAACTTTATTTTTTGTCCACAAAAATTTGAAAGTTATTTTATAAAACATCGAACCATGACATTTTATAACTGCAAAAAAGATTTGGAGTAGCTGCCAGCAATTATGATACAGGCCTCAATTTGTTTCTTCAGCGAGTCGATGGTGCGGCGGAGGTGTTCACGCATATTTCATTCCAAATTTTAGGCAGTTCTTTTCAGAATCACCAAACTTTTTGCATTTCGATTCCTTAGTAGTTCTTCAATAAAACCCCAAACAGAGAAGTCTAATGGATCTGAATTCGGACTGTGAGCAGACCATGAATCCATCGCCACAAAACAGCCGATACTGGTCTCGAAGAAGTGGGTCGGTGTATTGGTCCATGGGCCCGAGCGCGTTCCTGTAAAAAGACAGAATTGTTATGATTCTGCTTCTAGGGGGCAACAGTTTTCTCAAGGATCCCTTCTTGATAGACCTTCCCATTGATTTCCGCGCTTTTATCAATAAAAACCTGTACAGGCCTGCTCAAAGCACTGATCCCTCAGTCCATCAAATTTTCAGGGAACGAGATTCTTCTGGGTACTTTCCAATTAAGGATGTTGCTAAGAGCTGATGTAAAAGATTAAAGGTGATTGTGAGAGTGTAAGGCACTTAAACGGTAAATTTTTATTTGTGAGGCGTCCTAGGACCGCCGCACCTCTGAAAAATCCGCAACTTCTTATATTTTTTTCTTCCGATCTTGCTTTGCTTGGATGGTGGGAAACTGCCCGTTTGATATACGATATAGTCCATTCCGCACTTTATTTTTGCTGTCATCTGAACAAATTCTCGGAAGGCTTGGTTCTGTTTGGCCCCTTATTCAAGCTCAGGTCATCTTTTTGATCATTCTCTTTTTCGATAATTCTCCTCACCCATCGGGTGTTGGTAGTCGGTTCTCTCACTAGTTTAGGTCAGAAGCAGTCTTCCTCGTTCTGATGCTTTCCACTTTTTTGGACGGTTCGTAAAAAAATTGTGAGCCTTCGAAGAAATCGTTTGAGTCCCAGTGCAACAATCTAACTACTAACAGAGAGTTTGAAAAGAAAAAGCGCACTAAACTCTCCCATGCCATATTTTGAACGAAGCGGAATGTCACGCACACGTAATTTTTCGCCACCCTGTAGAGTCGGCACTGCACGCATAGTTAGAAGATCGCTTATCGCTTAGCACAAAGGAGTTGGGAACAGTGTCAGGCTCGCTGAGGTTAATTACGATTTTGTTAGATGAATGCTCTGTTCACTAAATCAACGCGTTGTTCTAGAATGTATGCATGTGTTCAAAGTGACATGACCCTGACGTTAAGTACAAAAGTCATCTTAGAGAATAAAGTTCAAGCTGAACGATTATCCTGCTTTACGTGTCCGCTGTAGCCAAGTGGTTTGAGCTTCCGCGTCGTGATTAGACATGATTTAGTGCAGCGCAATCAAGAACTCCAGCGATGTGCAAACATTGTTCCCGTGAACCTTACCCACAGGGCAGTCAGAGACACATCCGTTGGAAGCGAGAAAATCCCGGCCGACACTTTTATAATCGGCGACATCCATTATATCATGGCACATTCACCTGTGTTCGAGGAAGGGCACAAGTTTCGTCCGGAACGGTTTCCTAATGGAAGACGGTTTTTACACCAAACAAGTAGTATCCTATTTCGTATCTACCTTTGTCTGTGCCAAAATTGACTTTCTCAATGTTTAAGATCCTTTACTCCTTTATTGTTCTGACTTTCCCCGCAACCAAATATTTCTCAATTTGGATCATCGCGTAGACCGGAGGCATCTCTTATGTTGTCATTGGAACAAAAAACTTTCTCTAAAGAGAAAAATTTCTACCGAAAAGGACGCGTGACTGGTCCGCTAAAGGCTTGAGTCGTCCTGAATATATAATATTAGGTTGTCTCATGAGTATATAGTGTCCGTTTTTTTTGGGGTTCTCAGAGCAAGAATTTTCAAATGAAAAATCCCTGAGATTTACACCACCTTTTGGCATTCGAAGGAAAATTGACTGCTCTACAAGACACTGTGTATTTTTTCCACACTTGTTGCAGGATTTTCAAATTATAAAGGATAAAAGGATAAAGCATTTGCCGTTGATCAATCCCTTTTGGGATGCGGCACGCATTCTACTTCCATTTGTACATTCGTAGTGGCATTTGAATGCGATGTGGCCTATACAATGACTTGCGGGGGCCAGCCGATGTTCAAGTCAGTGTTTTTTATCCTCCCAGACAAGTCTGGTACCAATTAACCGACCCCGGAGGGATGGAAGGCTTGGTTGGCCCGGGCGACTCACGACCCAGGATTTGATCCCGGACCGCTCGCGTGGTGAGCGCGCCACTTGTCACTACACCACTTCCGCCCTTTTCAAAGTATACTAAAATTATACGAGTTCTGACGAAAAACTGGCCAGACGACAACTTGCTTTACTTGATCTACTCTATAGCGAGAACCAATCATAATGTACGGTCTACTTGATCCATTGACCTCTATGAACAGTCCTCTTTCAGGTTATCAAAAATTTACGGCTTTGCGTAGTTTTTGGCTGTTTGGTTGAGTCTGCGCTTGACCATTAAGTCTAGCGTCTTTCGAAATTAAAATTGCTCCTCTGAAACGTTATTGTTTTACATCAAGTGGCCCGTATTTTGTAAACATCTCTTCTGCTTTACATGCTATTTTGTTTTGTTTTTATTTTTGTTGTGAATTAGGTCGAATTTTAGACCTGCATGGTAAGATGTTTAGTCTGCGAAAGTGATCACATTATTCTGATGAAAATCTACCAGAGATGATAAGACAATCAACCAGGCATACATTCCTGGCCTACTCATGATTATTTCTTAACACTCCACTAGTTCTCCATTGTCTCAGCTGTGAAGAAATTTTGAGCTAGATTATAAGAAACCAGATTAGTCCCCCGTCAACCGCCGGGACCTTCCTTTCCTGCGCAAGCTTTCTATCCTCCGCTATGGTCCCTTCCTCCTGTGACACCAACACCTCCTGGAAGTGACGCGTATGCAACACAATGGTGTTTCATACAGTAGAAGGGACACAATCATGATATGACGGTAGATTTTTCGCTTCCCTTCCTCATCCTCCCTTCCTCTCTCCACTGCCCTCCAGCTGCCACTGCAGCACCATGTGGAATGAACGGAAGTGTGCTAAGCAGGTGTTTATATAGCCCTAAGAGTGTTATCACAACTATCCTGCTACAAAACATTGATATCTCAAATCCTGTAAGCTACCCGATTTGTTAGCGGTTTGTTTATCCCATGAGCTTCCTTCTCACTCACTTCATTTTGCGGACGGACACACATACATACACACACACACACACACACACACATACAGATACACAAACCGACACACAAAGTTAGCGCTTTATAAAATAGAAGGATTAGTTATACTTTCGGCTTCTGTTTGATTTCTGCTAGGGGAACATAGAGCTAGTTATTTTTGGTCCACTGGACCTACCTGAAAGTTGTGCTCAACACAAAAAGTATTTCGTAAAGCAGAACATTCTCTTCGAATGTTTTATGGCTGATTGTCAAAACGTTCAGAGATTCAGAAGAGACAAAGTGTAAACTTCTGTTTGAAAAAAGTGGCACTACTTATGGGACAACCTAATAGATCCTACGCATCGCCCATACCTTCCCTCGACCTTCCTGTCTCCGTGTCTGTTTTCCCAGCCCAGTCTCCACCCTATATTACCAGGATGTCACACAGACACGGCCAAAAAAGACTCATACCTCCGACTTCGCTTTTTTCTTGGCAAACGTGCAATTTATGTCCACTGCTTCATGTGAACCCACTTAACCTGCTTTATGCCAGCACAAATGTCTTCATTACGTGCACAATATAGAAGTTGTAAATATTTTCACAGAAATGAAAGTTCCACATAGAGGTATAGATAGAACCAATCACTCGCGCATACTGCTCATTTTGCAGAAAACTGTCGAACAACTTTGCCCTTTCTCCGTGGGAAAACGACAATGTGCTGGAGAAGCGCTGGCCAGGGTTGAGCTCTTTATTGGTCTCGTCACCTTGCTTCAGAATTACAAGGTGAGCCTAGTGATTTGTTCATGGCAATGTGAATTAGCCATGTTTCTAAAAAACAATAGTATGCAGAGCTTAACAGCACATGCTTTTCAGATAGAGCCATCAAAGGGACGCACAATAGATTTGCAGCCAAAATCCGATGGTGTTATCGTTCCAAAGGAGCAACCTCTGCGATTAACTCCTGTCGCACAATAGATCAACACTCGATGGAATTGGTGCAGGTTTCAGCAACGAGGCTCCCAATCCTAAACCAAGGGTGATTGTTCGTACGTGGTATAGGTACCCTCTATTTCAGAAAACCAGAAGAGTGTCAAGTGGAGACCATACACCACAAATTACGACGGCCAAGAAAAGAGAAAAAAAATCACTTCTTCCTTGGCCCACGTCACTTAGTGTTTACCACTCTTCTCGTTTTCCAAAATAGAGGGTACAACTCATTTCTTCCAATGTCATAATACAGCAATTGTAGATAAGTGTATAATAAACATTCTCTGATTAATCGAAGTTGTAGTGAGGATTCTCCTGGAATTCAGGGTGAATAATTTCTGAAATCTGCAAAGCGTTGTCTAATGGATGGTGACATACGTTGTGCGTTACTTATACAAAGAAACGAGTACGTTATTAAACCTTTGCCAAAACCGTGAGTGGGTATTATCTCGACAACTGACACAAGCTCTGTTTCCAGGAGATGCTTGCGATGAAGACAAAGAGCTTTTTGCACACGGGATAAACTTGCATGATCCATGTGAACTGATAGAACTACTATGTAGCCTTTATGGCCTTTCCAAGAGCCTATTCGGTGGAAAGATTATTATAATACTTGTAGAAGAAACTGCAGTTATAACGCTGCAAGATAACAATATCAAAATATCGCCGTGTCAATGGTTCGACAAGATTAGTTTCACAGTATGACTTGCGAGCAGCATACATAAACGCAGCCCAACTCTCGCA